GCCCTGCTGCTCCTGCTGGCGCTGCGGTTCTCGGCGGCGGAGCAGGGCCGGCGGAAACTCCTGTCCATCCTCAAGCAGCGTAAGTGAACCCGCGTGGGTCAGATAGGAGCCCCGAGGCGAGGGAGGCTTTTTCCGGGAGGAAGGAAAGAGGGGATCAAGTTCTAGAAACGGGTTGGAACAGCCCGTGGTGAGCAGCGCCGGCAGTGTGGCCCCCGAGGGGACAGTGGGCAACACCCGGAGGCAGTCTGGGCTTCACCTCCTGGGGGGGAGGGGTGGGGGGGATGTGCTGGCATCTAGTGGGTGGTCAGTGAGGGTGCTAGACGCCCTACGGCGCACAGGCGGGCCCCACAGCTCAGAGCTACCCGCGCCCAGATGTCAGCAGTGCAGTGGGCAATAGGAGAACATCATCCCAGGGCCCTAGCAGAGTGACGGTGCAAGTATGTGCAGTCCCGGGTGACTGTGTGAGCATGTATGTGTGCACAGCTGTGCACACAGGGCACCTGCCAGGAGGAATCAGAAAGTAACCTTTGCTCCCTCAGCCCTGCCCCTCGGGCTGGCAATGACCTTAACCCGAGGCAGCCCGGCCAGGTCAGGAGGCACAGAGCCCGTGGAGGGTCCGAGCAGGTTGAATGACAAGGACTCTGACGTCAGCAGTATGGGTGCCGTGAGAAACTTTCCTGCACTGAACTAAGAGACTGTTTCTATATGGAACTTGGCAAGAGCCAGCACTCACTAAATGGAACCTCTTAGTATTTATTCAAAAAAGGTATAGCCCGGCCGGTGTGGCTCAGTGGATTGAGCATCGTCCCAGGCACCACGAGGTCTCTGATTCGATTCCCGGTCAGCGCACACGCCCAGGTTTCAGGCTCAGTCCCCGGTAGGGGGCGTGCAGGAGGCAGCCAATCGATGTGTCTCTCTCATCCGTGTTTCTCTCTCCCTCTCCCTTCCTCTCTCTCTCTCTCAAATCAATTAGAAAATATTAATAATTTTTTTTAAAGTTTATAGATGGGGCCTGGATTTTGTCTTCAGAGAGGACAGAACCAGAGATGCAGGCTAGATTTGGCAGGAGGGATTTGGCGGAGCGGGGAGTGGCCCGAGAGGACGGCGGGCGCTGTAACCCAGAATGTTCCAGGTTTGGGAGGGACAGTGTCAGCAAAGTCTTATCTAAAGAAGCACGACACCAATTTGTCTAAAGGGCATTTTGAAAACAATACAAAACTGTTTTTACATCGTGCAATAGAGCACACGGGGAAAATACAGCTTAACGGATTGTTGTAGCGTGAACGCCTGCATCACCCAACCCTCCCTCCCTCCCAGTGCCAACCTCGGCTGCAAGTCACAGCAGTCACTTCCTTGCTCGTCTTTATAGCTTTGCTCTAGAGCAGCACAGGTTTGTTAGGCCGTCTGTGAACTTGTCACCTCGGAGGGAAGTGGCCGGTGTCCGTTCCGTATTCCCTGTATCTATTCCGAATCCGTCTTCTTTCAGGCAGCGTTGCGTCGTTACGATCCATCCAGGCTGCATTTACCTTCGTTGACTTCTATGGCCGGATGCTCTTCTATTGAGTGACGACCTCACCATTCGTTTGATCCCTTCAAATAAGGATGGGCACCTGGGTCATTTCCAGTTTGGGGCTATTTCAGACCATGGGGTTCCAGTGTTTCTGTCTATCTTCTCAGCTCACGTAGCACGGGTTTCTGTGTTGCTGTTGTTTTAATCTAGAGCAGCGGTTCTCAACCTGTGGGTCACAACCCCTTTGGCGGTCGAACGACCCTTTCACAGGGGTCGCCTAAGACCATCCTGCATATCAGATATTTACATGACGATTCATAACAGTAGCAACATTACAGTTATGAAGTAGCAACGAAAATAATTTTATGGTTGGGTCACATGAGGAACTGTATTTAAAGGGCCAGAAGGTTGAGAACCACTGCTCTAGAGAGATCATTGCTGGCTCCTTCTGTTTTCCAGACGGCAGGGGCTGTTCACACGCGCCCAGCAGCGGAGGACAGCGCCTGCTGCCCCCATCCTTGCTAACCTTGGCGTCTCTTTCCTCTCTCTGGTGGGCGGATAGATTTCACCGTGGTTTTAATTTGCATTTCCCTGATTTCTAGTGAGATGGGACTTTTTTCATGTGATGTCGCCACTGGGATTTCCTCCTCTGCGAAGAGCCCTCCAAGTCCTTTGAGCACCTTTCTGTTGGGGGGCCCGTCCTTGTCTCATTACCGTGTGGAGGCCTCCGTGGGCCGCGCGTGGGCTGCCGGCACCCGCCCCCCCACCCTGCGGTTTGCTCCAGCTTCTCTTTCTGAGGTCCACACCTTTGATTTAAAACTCTCAGCTCTCACTGAAACCTCTCACAGAAAGAACGAATCTTTCCATCTTTGCCCACCGAGCAACACAGTCCTGTATTCAATGGTTTTCAAACGTACTTATGAGTAATGAGTGAGTTGCAATGGAACCGTATTCCATTTTTTGAAAGCTTTCGGTTATTTTTAGAAACGTTCTATTTTGAAATAACTGCAGGTTCACAGGAAGTTGTGAGCAGGAAAGTCATGGGTCGCGTTCGATGTAACCACAGCACGAGGTCAGGCCGGGCAAGGGCCCGTGGTGCCTTGTGTGTGGATACTTGTTTTGTTTTTTAAATCCTCACCTGAGGATATGTTTTTATTGATTTTTTAGAGAGAGAGAAAGGGAGAGAGGGGGAAACATTAACGTGAGAGAGAAACATCAATCGGTTGGCTCCCCTACGTGTCCCGGCCACAGATGGGACCCGCAACCTAGTTAGGTGCCCCGACCGGGAATGGAACCCACGGCCTGTTGGTGAACAGGATGATGCTCCAACCAAGCGAGCCACCCAGCCTGGGCTGCGTGTATGTACCTGGATGTCATTTGATCACTTGTGTGGACTGGTATAGCCACCAGTGCAATCAAAACACACAACTAGCCCAGCCGGCGTGGCTCAGTGGCTGAGGGTTGACCTCTGATCCATAGTGCAGGGCTTGCAGGAGACAGCCAATCCATGATTCTCTCTCATCATTGATGTTTCTCTCTCTCTCCCCGTCTCCCTTCCTCTCTGAAATCAATAAGCATATATTTTTTAAAAAACACAAAAAACCACAGAACTATTCCCTGAGCACAAAGATCTCCCTCTGCTCGGCCTTCACAGCCACCCCCACCCCCTCACCCCTACCCTCTAACCCCGGCAACCTCGAACCCGTGTTCTATCTTTACCATTTGTCTCTTTTCGAATGTTATGCACATGGAATCACACAACATAGAAATGGGTCGGGAATACACAGCCTTTTGCGACGGGCTTTTTTCACTCAACCTAACGCCCCTGAGATCCAGCCGCTCGTGTTTCCGTCACTCACTCCCTTTGACGGCTGCCTGGTGCCCCACGGCGTGCTGTGCGTGGACCAGTTTGCTTCACCACTCGCCCCCCGAGAGGCACCCTGGCCGTCCCAGCTTTCGGCTATTGCATGGAAAGCTGCCTTGAAGTGCTGTACGGGTTTTGCATGGACACACGTTTTCACATCTCTGAGACAGACGCCCGGGAGTGCAATCGCTGGTCGTACGGTAAGTGGACGTTTAGTTCCATAGAAACCAGCAAGCTGTTTCCCAGAGAGCGGAGCTGGGGGACCTCCCGCAGCGCAGGACGCCCATTTCTCTCTCCCTGGCCGACACCTGCCCGGCGGGGTTTCTCCTGTCAGCTCTCCGATCGGCGGTACTGACCGCTCCCTGTGGTCTGTTAGTTATTTATTTTTCACTACCTCTTTTTTTCTCTCTTTTTTTAAATATATATTTTTTTATTTCAGAGAGGAAGGGAGAGGGAGAGAGAGAAAGAAACATAAATGATGAGAGAGAATCATTGATAGGCTGCCTCCTCCAGGCCCCACACTAGGGATCGAGCCCACAACCCGGGCATGTGCCCTTGACCGGGTATCAAACCCGGGACCCTTCAGTTCGCAGGCCGACGCTCTGTCCACTGAGCCACACCAGCCAGGGCCCTGTGGTCTTACCTGGCCTTTCCCTGCGGCTCCAGCATCTTCCCAAGCCCATCTTCAGTGACGTGTTCCTTTGTGGTGTTTGCCGTCTCCAATGGACGTGTTTGCTTGTTTGACTATAGACATTGGAGAATTCCTCATTTCTCCCAGATCCGAGGCCTCTGTCACTTCTGTGTCTGCAGCCTTTCCGCCTCCTCCCAGGGGCTTTTGCAGAGAGAAGTCTGTTAATGTGTTGAAACCCACTGTCTTTCTTCCATTGTGGAATCGGGTCTAGGAACGCTGCACCCAGGCCTGGGCTGCCTTCCAGATGTTTACCTTTAACTGCAGGGCTCACCTTCCGTTACGTGCTGTAAAGGCGTGAAAGGCTTAGACCAGATCCGCATGTCTTTGCTGTTTTGGCCCCAGCACCACTGGTTGAAAACACTACCCATCCCCGTTGACTTGTTCTGTGCTGCGTCAGAAACCAGTCGGGGGGCCTGGGCGGGGCTGACCCAGCTCCTCCCTCCTGTTCACTGGTTCACAAGCTTCCTCTCCGCCAACACCGCCCTCTTGACGGCCAGAGCTGTACGACGTCTACAGTTGGGTAGGGGTTAGCGTGGTTCTTCTGCATTATTCTTCTTTTTCAAAATCGTCTTAGCGATTCCCGTTCCTCTGCGTTTCCATGTACAGTTTTTGGATCATCTTAGATGCACCCACAGAAAGCCAGCTGGGCTCCGAGAGCAGCTGTGCTAAACCTGTGCATCCCTGTGGGGAGAACTGACACCTTTACGACGTGAAGCATTTCGATCCATGAACACAGTCTGTCTCCCCATTTATTCTGTTTCCTTCGATCCGTTTCATCATCACTTTGTAGTTTTCAGCATCCAAGTCCTGCACATGTTTTGCTACATTTAGGTCTTAGAGTTTTTTAAACTGCAAATGGCATGGGCGCTGAAGGCTGGTCTCCACCTGCTCATCGCTGGCACACAGGAGCGTAGTTGCTGTTTGTAGACTGACTCTGTAGCCTGTGACTTTGTGGAACTCGTATATTAGCTGGGGGCGTATTTTGTAGATTTCTTGAGATTTTCTGTGTAGACCATAATGTCATCAGCAAACAGGGAAGCTTTATTTTTTCTTTCTCTATCTGTGTGCTTTCTGTTTCCTCTTCTGGGCGGGCGAGGAATTCCAGGACCTGGTGCGATAAAATTGGTGAGTGAACATCTTGGCCTTACTTCTAATTTTAGGGGGAAAACATTCGGGTTTCACCAGTAAGTATGATGTGAGTTGTAGACTTTTATTTTTCTTAAATCCTCATCTGAGGATATATTATTATTATTATTATTATTATTATTATTATTAGAAAGGAGAGGGGGGAAGAGAGGGAGAGAGAAAAACATCGATGTGAGAGAGAAACACTGATTGGTTGCCTCCTGTATGTGTGCCGACTGGGGATCTAGCCGGAAGCTGGGCATCTGCCCGGACCAGGGATCGAACCTGAAACCTTTTGGTGCACAGGGCGATGCTCCAACCACTGAGCCGCTCGGCCAGGGCCAGTGGATCCTCTCCATGAAGTCGAGGGCGTTTCTCCTCCATTTCTAGTTTTCGGAGAATTATTTTAAGAATCATGAATAAACGTTGACGCTTGTCACGCTTTCTTTGTATCACCTGAGACGACCATTTGACTTTCTTCTTCGTCCTGTTAAGGTGATGGATCACATAGGTTCAGTTTTGAATATTGAACCAGCCTGGCACCCTTGGAATAAACTCCGCTTGCTCATCGTATAGAATTCTTTTTCTTTTTCTTTTCAAATATATTTTATTGATTTTTTACAGAGAGGAAGGGAGAGGGATAGAGAGTTAGAAACATCGATGAGAGAGAAACATCAATCAGCTGCCTCCTGCACACCCTCTACTGGGGATATGCCCGCAACCAAGGTTCATGCCCTTGACCGGAATCAAACCTGGGACCCTTCAGTCCGCAGGCCGACGCTCTAGTCACTGAGCCAAACCGGTTAGGGCTAGAATTCTTTTTCTAAGTTGCTGAATTATACTTGCTAATATTTTGCTAAGAATTTTTGTAGCTATATTCCCGAGGGATAGAATGTATAATTTTCTTTTCTAGTATTGTCTTTTTAATATATATATATATATATACATATATATAATTGATTTCAGAGAGAAAAGGCAAGGGAGAGAGAGAGATAGAAACATCAATGATGAGAGAGAATCATCGATCGGCTCCTCCACATCTCCTACTGGGGATTGAGCCCGCAACCTGGGCATGTGCCCTGACTGGGAATCTAACCGTGACCTCCTGGTTCATAGGTCGATGCTC